AAAAAAAAAAAAAAAAAAAAAAAAAAGCATAACCACGGTACAGGCCAGACACCTCTTGTGTGCTGTCGAAACCTGTCCCCAGCCCCTAACGTGAGACCTCTGGGTCGGCTGTGGCAGGGCTGGGGCTGAGGGGGTGTGCTGCGGGCTGGGCCGGACAGCCCTGGCCTGTCTTAGAGCAGAGGGGCAGTGGACCCTTTCTGTGCCTGAGGCATCCTGGGGCGCCGGGGTCGCTTCCTGTGAGGCTTAACCTTCTGCGGGGGCTTCCGGCTGGGGAGGGGAGGCCGCGGTGCCCGTGTCTCTCCTGCAGAGGCTATGCCTGGCTCGGGCCCTCCTGGGCCTCTGAGCTGCCAGGCAGCGGAGGAGGAGGGAGGTCGCCACCCCCATGCCAGAGACCCCGCTGCGCGGCCACCACCCGGGCCTGTCATCAGTGGAATGAGCGGTGATTTGGGGCTGAACCCTGTCTCTTGGCCTCGCGGCAGAAGGCAGACCGGCTCAGAGGCCTCAGTCCGTCGGGCACTTCCCGGATGCTGTGGCTGGCCCACCTGAGCGGCTCCACCCCAGGAGGGTTTCGGAGAACCTGGGGCTTGGCAGGGGGACCCCTGTGAGGGGCTGGGCCTGTCCTGCAGCCAGGCCCGGAGCAGGCAGGCGCACTGCTGGGAGGAGGCGCGGGCGGCGGCGTCTGTGTCTGGCTGGGGCCTGCAGCTCGTCCGTGAGGGAGGGGGAGTCAGGGACAGCCCCCCCGCTCCCCCCTGCTGCCAGCACCTCCAGGTGGGGACAGGCATCCCGCTCCTACTCTCTGAACCTGATCCTCCTACTCTCAGGCTCCTACTCTCGAGCCCTGGGGTCAGGTGGGAACCAGAGGCCACAAAGCATACATGGCCACTGAGCCGCCTGCCCACACTTCTCTCCTGACCCCGCGTAGGCTCCCAGGGAAGGCGGGTGGCTGCTCCTGTGGGGGCCGCGGGGCCGGGAGAACTCCCTGGCGTCTCCGCACAGAGGAGGGCGAGCAGCCCCTGTATCTCTCACGCGGGTCCAGGCAGGCTCTGAGCCTAAGAGGCGCTGGCGTCTCAACCGGGGTTTGTTGGACCCCTTGGGGGCAGGCGGGTGCTGGACATCCAGCCAGACACGGAGCCCCGTCACAATGCCGGGGCGCCCACCCTCCCAGGTGGTGGGCACAGAGGTCACCCCGTGCCAGCTGTCCCCTCGTGTGGTGGTGCATTGTAGCTTAGCTGGGTCTGCAGGGAGGCGCCGTGTCCATCCCCGGGGGAAGAGGCACCAGGAGGCGGCGGAACTCATGGGCGCCGGCCAAGTGACCGTCTGTGACAGGTCCAGCTCATGGCTGCCGGGGCCTGTGGCAGCGCTCTGGCCCGAGCTGCTCTTGGGGACCTCCCCTGCCTGCCGCGTGGGGCCGCGGACCCTTCGGCCTCTGCCGGGTGAGGAACCAGCGAGGGGGCGACTCTGCGGGAGCCAGGCGGGGCTGTGCCGTGCAGATGCCCCCAAGTGGCCTGCGGTCCGCGGGAAGGCACGGGCAGCGGGCCACAGGGGGACGTGCCCCCAAGGCTACGATCTGCTCCCCACCTGTGTCTGTGTCTCTGTCCCCTGCTCACGGCCTGCAGGTTCCTGGCTCCCAGCGGGCCTCCTTCTCTGTCCCCTGCTCTCCCCTGGATGTCCCTGGCTCCCAGCGGGTCCTTCTCTGTCTCCTTCTTGTGGCCACATGTCCCTGGCTCCCAGTGGGGCCGCCTGTCTCCACCCTCTTCTGTCTGTCTCTGTGGGTATCTCCCGGAGCTGCCGTGTCTCCTCGTCTCTCCGTCTCCGCCCCCCTCTGTGTCCCTGTGCCCCTTCCCTGTGCGTGTCCCCGCCCTCCTGGGTGGCCAGCGGCTGTGGAGGCTGCTGTGGGTGACCACGGAGGGCTGTGGTGCCTGTGGTCCTGGTGCGGCTCTGCCAGGGGCTGCATGCCAGATGCTGCTTGGGGGCCCTCCGCCTCCTCCCAGGCTGCCCCCCGGGAGGTGTCTGTGGATGCCCCCTGTGTGCATGTTCGCCGGGGGCACTTGTTGAGTGCTTGCTGCATGCCAGGACCGTCCACCCCGCCTCTGGAGGCAGATCAGGCTGTCCTCGTCCAGAAAGGGTAGAGTGAGCGGATTGGCCACGCCCGGCCCGTCTCCCGCCCCAGACTGCCCCAGTCATGTGCTGCAGAGGTGGACGCGAGGTGGGACTTCCGAGGTGGGCACGCCTGCCCTTCCCAGACTTAGCAGCTGCCCCATGTCACCTTGGGGAAGGTGCATTTCCCACGTTGGTGGGCTTGTGGCCCAGCCCTAGGACTGGGGTGTCCTGCCCCCGCCATTTGTATGTGGGATTGAAATGGGCCATGGGGAGGGGGGCTAGTCTGCCAGGAGGGGAGTGACTAGCCCACGGGGAAGTGGGGAGGCTGGCCTGCTGTGAGGCGGTGAGGCTAGCCCATGGGGGAGGGAGGAGGCTAGCCCGTGGGGGGTGAGGCTAGCCCATGGGAAGGGAGGCGGCTAGCCCGTGGGAAAGGGAGATACTAGCCCATGGGGAGGGGAGAGGCTACTCCATGGAGAGTGTCAAGGCTAGCCCTTGGGGACAGGTGTCTCCAGGGATGTCCGGGTTAGGCACCGTCCCCAGCGTTGAGGCCTTCTGCCTCCTCTGGACACCACGGACACTCTGGCTGGCTGCTGCCAGCCTCCTGGGGCTGGGCCCTCCTGGAGTCCCCTCTGGTGTCTGCCCCGTTGGGGAATGTCTCCCAGACTGAGTCTTCAAACGCAGATGAACGCTGGGGTTACCAGGGGGCTGTGGCAGCTGAATTGCTGGGCTGCACCCCTCCCCTGTCCCACAGTAGGGCTGGGATCTGAGGCTCTGCGTTTTTTAATGTTTTTATTTTTGTGGAGATGGGGTCTCGCTGTATTGCCCAGGCTGGTCTTGAACCTCCTGCCTCGAGCACTGGGATTACAGGTGTGAGCCATAGCGCTCGGCCAGAGGCTGATGTCTCATGAAGGCCTGGGTGTCCATCCAGGACCAGGCGCCCGGATCAGCCCGGCGAAGGGAGCAGGGTGCAGAAGGGGACGTCGAGGCTGAAGCATGGCCCACCCAGGGGGCTCTCTGGAGCTGGACCGGCCCTTCTAGGAGTCGAGCTGG